GTTATTTTCTTAAAGAAGTATAGAAAAGGGGAGTTCCTTAAAAGCGAAGAAAAATTTCCCACACTTTTTTTTAAAAGGAAACTAGGTTTTTTTACAGAAAAGGGGGAAAAATTTTCTTGACAGCGGGAGGAAAGACCTTCATTTTATCCAGAAATTTTTTTTTTTTATGGAACAAGTTTTGAAAACGGGAAATAAAAATTTGTTTAAAAGAAAGGAGTGAGCTAGACAGATAGCTCAAGTCATTCCCTGACCACCCGGGCTGTGGTTCATGTGTTGGAGTGAGTGCAGTCGGCAGTAACAGCTTGATCCACCATGAGGCCTGGTCATGGACTAGGCCGTGGGGGTTGTTGACCCCTGGAACACACTCCAGATACGGGGAAGTGTTAAACCTTGAGGGGTTATATAGTACATAGGCAGCAATAAGGTTTGATCCAAGGGGGAAAAAAAAAAAAAAAGCAAGGCCAGTTCCTTAGTTTAAAGAACACCTAGCTGGCATTACGGCCCCCCTCCACAAGGGACGCTTTGTGAAACAAAACATATTTGGACAAAGTACAGAAGAAAAAATTAGGGCATTAGGATTTAGTAAAATAAAGTTGTATATTTTTTTTTTACCCAGTTCATAAATGCTTTTTAAGAAATGTATAGTTCCAAAGGACAACTTATATTATTTAAGCTTTATGGTAAGGGCTGATGGAAAGCAAAAATTTGCCATAATTATCAGCACTTTTAAAGTCACTTGTAAATAAACTGTGAGTGATTTATATAATGTAAATTAAATGTGAATTTTGATAGCAGTTTTCATTTTCCTTTGTATTATAGTCATTGGTAAGTTTTGTCTCACAAACAGTCACAGCCTGCTGTTATAATAATAGTATCTTCCTGTACAAGGTATACAGGTTAGCTGATATCAATAAACATATTTATTATATAGAAAGCCCCTTGTTATACAGGGTGCGCCCCCCATAGTTGACTAACACCCAGTTACCCATTTTCCCTTTATGAGAGCTTTAGCCACCAAGCCACAGGGCACCCTACATACAACAATGAGAAAACTAAACACAAGCTTAATTAAATGTCATAGTATCTGCGGCTGTTGCTCTAATTATACAAAAAATCAAATTATCTTTAGTTAGAATGCACATAAGATTTTACGTTGGGCAACCCATATTAACTGGTGCAGAAATAGACCTCAGTCAATTTTAAAATATTAAAATAAATGATGAAAAAAATGCAGTTATTTTCATGTGAATGTAATTATTAGGGAGGGGGGGGGTGACCAAGTATAAGGATTGGACCTGATACAAAAATTAAATGGCTCCTATGCTTACCTGATATAACAGCCTCAAACTACTGGAGGTTTGTGAAAAGATTGCTTCCCAGATACCAGTAGCTGACATTAAAAAATCACATGTTAGGATGAATGGTATCGGAAAAGTCACTCCCAAATTTAAAAGCCAATGCATGGATTTCTTTAAATGAAAATTAGATGTGTTGTGGGTCACTTGAGTTGCATCATCACTATGACAACTGTGAAGCTGTTGAAAAAACTAATAGTTTTAATTACCACATGTATCTTCATATCTTACCATTTTGTTAAAAAAAAATCAGAAAAGGGTTTTGCAGACACCCTGTACTATATTTAGTACTGGATTTGAGATCACTGAATTATACATTCATGATTCAAAATAAAATCTGGTATCTTCCATCCAACACTATCACACACAGCCTGGTTCTAGAGAGTATTTCATTCAAACATGTTTCTGCATTATCTGTCTGTCCTGGTGTGCAGCCACACTTACTGTCCCTTGATTTATAACGATCTCTGGTGCTATCTTCGGAATATTTGGCATCCACAAAACACTCACTAGAACATAATCTGACTTCCTCCTGTTCATTTCTTGTTTCAGTCTGTTTATTACTTTTCAAAACTTTTTCAAGTATAGATTTACTTGGTTCAAAATTAAGCTTAAGTGCATGATTTATCATATTTTGTATCAGTCTAATTTCCACTTTTTGCTCTTCATTAAGATTACTCTTGCATTTAGTCAAACAAGCCATTAATAATCCATCCAGCCTAGACAAATAAATTGTGGGGTTCACCTTAGACTGTGACTGAAAAGCTGTCTCAAAGCCTTCAATTCTTCCTGCAGCTTCCTCCTCTTCAAAATCTCCAAGGATAGCATTTCTATAACCTGTGAGATAGAGCTTATCAAAGCCTGATCGGAGATTCCACAGCTTTTCGTCACTCTCTTGGTCATCCCAGATATCAGATGCCTTATTTGTCACACCACTACTGGAATTCGTAAACATTTAACCTTAAAATCAAGCAATCTGATAAGAAAAAACCCACAAATAAAATATATTAATCATGGTTTATGACAAGTATTTAAAGTCATATGTATATTGCAACAAAACCTAAAGATATGATACTCATTTTTTTAAAGTAATCTTGACAGCAGCTAAAGCATCTACAACCCACTGAGGGTATTCTTGGTCCTTGTAGTATGCAGCCATAAAATCCTCAACAAATTCAGCAAAACAGTCTTTCTTAATGCTATCTCGAATACTTTGCATCAGTCGCATCTGAGGAAAAAAAAGGTTGTAATAGTATAATAGGTATAAAATATAATTTAGATATAGTACTGTAATATATATGGCTAAGTGTTTGGGGCAAAAATTATAAAACTACTGGTGAAAAAAGCGAACGCAAATCCACAAAACACTTAAATTTTTGAAAAAAATTATACATACTGAAATTTTGCTTTCTTTTATCAAAATAATGTGAGGGAATCCCAAAAGGGATTTTCCCTCAAAGGAAAGCATTCACATTTCTCAAACATACAAAATGAAACAAATATCATTAAAACAAACACTAATTAAAGTTATTTTTCAATTCCCAAACTTTTTTGAATGGAAAATATTTATAAAAAACATTCTGCATTAATAAATGTAATGTGAAGAAAATTTCCCCAATTTTTTTAAAGTCACTCAAAAATAACAAAAGAAATGTGAGGTTTCCAGGGGAAAACGTTTTTAGAAGAAAAAAATTTTTGAGATCGTGTTTTCAAAAATTAAACATGGTTTCACTCGGGTATCTAGGCCCCAAAAAATTTTTATCACAGCCTCCACAGGGTATGGTTCTTTGGGCTTCCCTTTTCTTCTACAGCACTTACCCCTGTGGTTTAGTTTTGTTATAAAAAATAAAATTCCCTTTTTTTTTGACTAAGCCTTTCTAAAAAATTAAGTTAAAGTCATTTTATTTACCCCGTACTCGGTCCCAAAAAAGAAAAAAAAAAAATAAAAGGGTTCCGGGTTTTGGGTCGGGGAGGGGGGGGAGATTTAGCATATTTCCTTTCACTTGTCACCCCCACTTTATCTAGCGCAAACAATCCCCGGGGTACAGCATTGGGGGTTGCATCCTAGGGAAGAGAGGAAAAAAAATCCCAATGAAAATAAACCAGTGATTGGTATTCTTGGGTTATACTCAGGGTTAATAGTAATAATAATAATTATTTCTACATGTACAACTTATACAGACCATAGCTGATATCAATGACATACTATACAGAAAGCCCCTGGTTATGCAGAGCATTTCAGGTAAATCAGGTTAATTTTGTCCCAGGATGTGACCCACACAAGTTGGCTAACACCCAGGTACCTATTTACTGCTAAGCGAATGGGGGCAGCAGGCATTTACTTAAGGAAACACACCCAATGTTTCCATTTGTACAGGGAATCAAACCACGGACCTCAATATATGAGCTGAGTGCAGTACGAACCAAGCTACAGGACACCTAAATTAATCCAATTAGTCTTATTCTTCAATTTAATCATGAAGGTAAGAAATAGTGCGTACACTATAAACAAAGGGTGAGAATGTTGCAGTTCTGAGGGCCATCTATGACGTCAGCACACTTTTGGTAAGACAGCGAACACATTTCCTCTTTTTTGGTCACCTTACCTCAGAGGGAGACTGTCAGGGTTTGAAAAAACAAAAAGATTCCCTCTCTACAAATGTTCATTCAGTATTATCATTTTTTTTTACGAAAATAGTTAACAATAGTTACACTACATAAAACAATTTAAGGTTTAGTTTATTACAAGGCTAACTCACCTGGTAGGCAACATTGTGCAAGGATAAAAGATGGCAAGCAACCGTCTCCTTCGTAACGATGGTGTGAAGGTAAGCACGTGAGTAATTTCTGCAAGTTGAACAGCCACATTTTTCATCAATAGGCCTGAAATCATTAGCAAAGTCACGGGCCTTCAGGTTGATCTGACCATTGTCCACAAGAGCACAGCCAAATCTCTAAAATAAAAGAAATCACAGATGAGTTTTCATAGAAAAATACTAGATACGTATATGGAAAGGTAACATTTATGAAGGGATTCAGGGAAACTGGTTAGGCAGACAAGTTTGCCTAACCAGTTTTGGCAGATGAGTATATGAGAGAACCATACAACTGATGAGGAGAAAAACGTGAATGATGCATTGAGGGATTTGTGGGGGACAAAGGGGGTTTAAAGCTAAGAGCAAAGTGGCACCAACATTGCTGACTGTATGAGAAGCATAGGTTTTCAATGTTGCAGCAGAGAAGAAGGTTGGAGGCAGAGGAAATGTCATGTTGGAGGGTAATGTGTGATGCAAATATTACACAGAGAATTTGGGGATTGGGTGTGGTTACCAAAAGTATTATTCAGAGGACTGAGGAAGGATTGTGAAAATGGTTTGGACATTTAGAGGATGGAACATGATTGGATGACTAAGAGAATGTATAAACTGGGTGGATGGAGGGGTAGGAGATCATCCCTGGAAGGGTTGGACTGACAGGGGTAAAGGAGATTTTGAGTGCTAGGGGCTTGGCAAGTGATTTTTATGCTGTTAGATTGTGAGCAAGGTACCATTTATGAAGAGATTCAAGGAAACTGGTTGGCCAGACTTGAGTGCCTGCACTCTGAAGGCAGGGTGGGGATGTAGCAGGTTGGAGGGTTATCCGAACTGTGATGTCACCACACTTCTGGCAAGACAGCAAGTGGATGAATAATGGAGATCTTTCCTCCTTTTTTTTGGGTCACCCTACCTTGGTGGGAGAGGGCTGGTGTGTTACAAATAATATATTCATGTGAAAGCACTAAACCAATAAGAATCATACAGCACCTGGTGGAACAGGAGATAATTGGCTTGACCCAAGAAGATTGATAGCACCAATTCCATTTCTTGAAAAACCCTTCACCAGCTGGTGAAGGGAAAAAAGCATTATCCAAACGTGTCTCCTGGGGTTTACCTGGAGTTTACCTGGAGAGAGTTTCGGGGGTCAACGCCCCCGCGGCCCGGTCTGTGACCAGGCCTCCTGGTGGATCAGCGCCTGATCAACCAGGCTGTTGCTGCTGGCTGCACGCAAACCAACGTACGAGCCACAGCCCGGCTGATCAGGAACTGACTTTAGGTGCTTGTCCAGTGCCAGCTTGAAGACTGCCAGGGGTCTGTTGGTAATCCCCCTTATGTGTGCTGGGAGGCAGTTGAACAGTCTCGGGCCCCTGACACTTATTGTATGGTCTCTTAACGTGCTAGTGACACCCCTGCTTTTCATTGGGGGATGGTGCATCGTCTGCCAAGTCTTTTTGCTTTCGTAGTGAGTGATTTTCGTGTGCAAGTTCGGTACTAGTCCCTCCCAGGATTTTCCAGTGTAATAATCATGTATCTTCCCCCCTGCGTTCCGGAATACAGGTTTAGAACCTCAAGCACTCCCAGTAATTGAGGTGTTTTATCTCCCTTATGCGCGCCGTGAAAGTTCTCTGTACATTTTCTAGGTCGGCAATTTCACCTGCCTTGAAAGGTGCTGTTAGAGTGCAGCAATATTCCAGCCTAGATAGAACAAGTGACCTGAAGAGTGTCATCATGGGCTTGGCCTCCCTATTTTTTGAAGGTTCTCATTATCCACCCTGTCATTTTTCTAGCAGATGCGATTGATACAATGTTATGGTCCTTGAAGGTGAGATCCTCCGACATAATCACTCCCAGGTCTTTGACGTTGGTGTTTCGCTCTATTTCGTGGCCAGAATTTGTTTTGTACTCTGATAAAGATTTAATTTCCTCATGTTTACCATATCTGAGTAATTGAAATTTCTCATCGTTGAACTTCATATTGTTTTCTGCAGCCCCACTGAAAGATTTGGTTGATGTCCGCCCGGAGCCTTGCAGGTCTGCAATGGAAGACACTTGTCATGCAGATTCGGGTCATCTGCAAAGGAAGACACGGTGCTGTGGGGTGACATCCTTGTCTATGTCAGATATGAGGATGAGGAACAAGATGGAGCTAGTACTGTGCCTTGTGGAACAGAGCTTTTCACCGTAGCTGCCTCGGACTTTACTCTGTTGACGACTACTCTCTGTGTTTTTGTTAGTGAGGAAATTATAGATCCAAACGACCGACTTTTCCTGTTATTCTTTAAACGCGCATTTGTGCGCTATTACGCCATGGTCACACTTGTCGAAGGCTTTTGCAAAGTCTGTATATTTACATCTGCATTCTTTTTGTCTTCTAGTGCATTTAGGACCTTGTCGTAGTGATCCAGTAGCTGAGACAGACGGAGGACCTATTCTAAACCCATGTTGCCCTGGGTTGTGTAACGGGTGGGTTTCTAGTGGGTGGTGATCTTGCTTCTTAGGACCCTTTCAAAGATTTTTATGATATGGGATGTTAGTGCTATTGGTCTGTAGTTCTTTGCTGCTGCTTTACTCCCCCTTTGTGGAGTGGGGCTATGTCTGTTGTTTTTAGTAACTGAGGGACGACCCCCGTGCCATGCTCCCTCTCCATAGGATGGAAAAGGCTCGTGATAGGGGCTTCTTGCAGTTCTTGATGAACACAGAGTTCCATGAGTCTGGCCCTGGGGCAGAGTGCATGGGCATGTCATTTATCGCCTGTTCGAAGTCATTTGGCGTCAGGATAACATCGGATAGGCTTGTGTTAATCAAATTTTGTGGCTCTCTTATAAAAAATTCATTTTGATCTTCGACTCTCAGTCTGGTTAGCGGCTTGCTAAAAACTGAGTCATATTGGGGTATATATAAACAGAATACAATTAACAGCACAAGCTATGCTTGCAAGCATAGAGTGGCTTTCAAAAACCTAGCTGATGATTCAGTCAAAACACTTGAAACCTCAGATGTACGGTCCCACTCCTGAGACTGCAGCACCAGTGTGGAACCCACACCTAGTAAAGCATTCAGTGGAAATGAGAGAAAATAAAGCATCAAGACTGGTACATCAGCTGAGGGAATGAGATCTGAAGAAAAAATGTGTGAACTAAGCCTTACTGCACTGGAAGAGTGAAGAACAAGAGGTTATACGATCACAATATACAAAGTACTACTAGGCATAGACAGGATACACAAGTGTAAGAGCTTTACAAGGGAAGAATAAAAAGTCAATACAGTGACGGGAAAAAATGCACAAAAAAACCCTGCACAAAGGGGGAAAAAAGCTAGGTAGTAGGTTGGCTACAGAAACCACTAGGGAAGTACTCCCGTTCGCCAACTGATGTAATATGGAAGCTGTATTTTTTTTACTGATGGAAGGATTACTGGGGCCTTTTCCCTGTCTCATAAACATGAAAGATTTCAGGTACGTCTTACTACTTCTACTTCACTTAGGTCACACTAAACAACATGTACAAGCATTATAACTACACACACCCTTCGGGTTTTTTTTTTCTTTTATTCTTGTTTTTTTCCCTCTTATCCCAGGGGGAAAAGGGGAGCAGAATTCTTCTTGTAAGCCTTTCATGTTGTAAAGGGACTAAAATCCCAGGGCGGGAGCGGTAACCCCTTCTCCTGTATAAATTTCCTAAATTTAAAAAGAGAAACTTTTTTTTTTTTTTGGGCCACCCCGCCTCGGTGGGTAGGTTGGTACTTGAAAGAAAGAAGACTTAAAAAATGGTATATTTTTTCTGGCGCCTCTGAAAAAAACAGTGTTTATTTGGTGGGGGTGAAAGTGTTGAATGTTAAAGTATTTTCTTTCTTTTTTGGGTCACCCTGCCTTGTGGAGATGGCGACTTGTTAAAAAAAAAAAAAAAAAATTTATATATATATATATTATTATATTTTTATATATATTTTTATATAATATATATATATATATATTTATATTAAAAAATATTAAGGTGGGTTGGTAGACAGCAACCGCCCAGGGGGTACACCCTCTGCCAAAAGTGTAAAACGAAAGCCCGTAATTTTTTTTACATGATGGTAGGATTTTTGGGTGTCCTTTTTTTTTGCTCATGAAAAATCAAGATTTCAGGGCGTCTTGCTACTTTACTTACACTAGGTCCACTACCATAAATGACAACCATTATACCACCCCCCTGGTTTTTTCTATTTTTTTTTCTAGTTTTATTCTTGTTTATTTCCTCTTATCTCCTGGGGGGTGGAACAGAATTCTTCCTCCTAAGCCCTGCGTGTTGTAAAGGCGACTAAAATGCCGGGACAAGGGGCTAGTAACCCCTTCTCCTGATATATTACTAAATGTAAAAGGGGAAAAAATTTCGTTTTTCCTTTTTGGGGCCACCTGCTCGGTGGTACGGCCCCTGTTTGAAAGAAAAAAGAAGTATAAATATAATTTTTATGGGAGCAAGGGCTAGTAACCCCTTCTCCTGTATTTATTTCAAATTTTAAAGGAAAACTTTGGTTTTTTCTTTTTTGGCCCCCCTGCCTCGGGGATACGGCCCGGGTGTTGAAAGAAGAAGAAAGAATTATAATTTATATATATATATTTATATATATATATTTATTTATATATATTTTTATATTATATTTATATATATATATATTTTTATTTTTAAAAATATTTTTTACAAGTCGGGCCCCTCCCCGGCAGGGGGACCAAAAAAGAAGAAAAACCCAAAAAAAAAATACTTTCATCATCATTCAAAACTTTCACCACATCGACATTACACTGTTTTTGCAGAGGTGCTCAGAATACAACAGTCTAGAAGCATACACATTAAAGATACACAACATATCCCCCCCCAAAATGCCCAATATCCCAAACCTCCCTTAAAATATTACCCTGCTCACACTCCAACAGATTGTCAGGTCCCAAGTACCATTGTCTCCATTCCCCTCTATCTATCACCTCACGACGCTTTCTGGGAAATCCAAGCCCCCCGCCCACAAAACCTCCTTTTTTACCCCCTCTCTCCAACCCTTTCGAGGCGACCCTCCCCCGCCTCCTTCCCCTATAGATTTATATGCTTTCCATGTCATTCTACTTTGATCCATTCTCTCTAAATGACCAAACCACCTCAACA